ATGAAAATAAAAATAAATACGTGTAGTTGACGCATTCTCTGGATTGGGGTTCTAGACCGACTGAAAAGGAGAAGCTGTGAAGCCGGTCCAGAGGCAGAATTCCTTTTGTCTGTTTCCTGGCCTGTGGGGATGATGCTGCTGTGCCATGCTCCTTCCGCTATGAACTCTGTCATGCCTTCCACACCAAGAAGAGCTGTCTAAAACACAGCTAATGCCTTCTACCTCTGGACCAGTGGTTGGATTCCTTATGGAAGCATTGGGAGAACAAGGGAGAACTTTCTTGGAAGAGAGCTGTATTTGTGTAGTGTGGCACGCCCTCTCTAGAGCCAACCACTTCAGATACCAGTCCATTGCCTTTAGACTGGAGCTAGGGCTGAGTCAGCCTGCTGTAATTCAAGCTCTGTGTGATCTGGGGCTGACCGCATCCAAGAGGAGAGGGCGGTGGGCAACTGCCCACAGCCATTTCAGGGTGGAGTTGAACCAGTGACACTGTAACTGACATGGCAAAAACAACTTAAGGAAGGGAGCATTTGTTTTGCCACACCATCTTTAATTTAAGTGGCCTTGGTAAGCTGTTTGCACATGTTGAGGCTGACTCTAAGAGAAAGACAGACTCCCCTTATCTCAGATTCAAACAGGTTTACCCCACTTGTCCTAGGAGACACTTTCCCAGGGCAGGCCGGTCTCATGCTTTAGTGACAGGGAGAAAGGAGAACACACAGCTATATTGCACCCTTGAGAACAGCTAGAAGGTTATTCTAAGTGTTATTACTTTTATTTCTCCTGTGATATAAAATGCCTGCGGTGGGAATGAGGAGTTGGGAGGCTCATCAGTGGAGAAAAAGATCCAATGCCTTCTTCTGGCTGCCTCAGGCTACTGCACACACATGATGCAAATAAACTCAGGCAAACACATATACACAGAAATAAAATGAATAAATGAAATACAATTTTAAAAAGAAAGGTGTCAATTCTTTTAAGGAGTACGGTCAGAAACATTTCTAAGACATTCTATTGGTCAAAGGCAGTTTAAATTGGGGCAGGGCATTACACCTCTTCATGGGAGGGACTCCATGCACAGGCTGCTGTTGTTGGAACCATTGGAGACACCTGCCACACTCTACAAGAGTGTTACTTCATGGCAGTATGAGTTTTCTTTCTTTTTTCCTTTGTTCACTGACATAGCCACAAAATGATTCTGAAACTGTTCCTAGTGCAATAGATAGTCAATGGGGGTAAGAATGATGTTTCCAACATTCAGTCCATATTCGGACCTTCTCGTGGACCCCCTAGGATGAGCAGTGTTTGTAGGGGAAGGTGGGATGTGATGGCTCTGCTTCCCAGCCTGTGGTATAAGTCTATCTCACCTCTCCTCACATACGCACAGACATGCAAGGAACACAAGGAGATCACAGTGAAGAAGGAAAAGACAGACTTCACGGGTTCTCAGCCAGACTCTAGCCAGTGGGAATCGCTGTTTCTCCACCTGTAAATTATGTGTGTCTCATGAGGTACCTGAGCTTCTCAGTTGTGCATTTTTACAGATGTGCTAATTGCACTTTTGTTCCTTCATTTCTGCAGGGCACTCTGTTGTTAGACTCTCCTAGGTTCTGGGCTGCAGAGGAAAGAAAGTATGGTTAGTTCTTTGAGAGACACACAAATAAGCAGGCCCTCTTAATCCATTTTCTGTTGCTGTAACCTGATTCTTGACACTTTTTCAGAAAAGAGATTTCCATGGCTCATAGCCTCGGTGTCTGGGAAATCCAAGTTTGGTCGCACCTGGTTCCTTCTGCTGAGGGCTTTGCTTCAGGCAGGGCTAGTGGGTCTGTGTGGAACCTAATGCCAGTCTAACGGATGCAGTACCGCTAGAGGGCGCTCTCCTTCCTAGTGAGCCTCCGTGAACCACCCGCCTTCCTTCTGTTAGGGCCTATTTCCCAACTAGGCTGTGCTATGTTTTTAAGCCTCCACATCAGTTGTGATGAAGATGAACCAAATACAAGCCAGAGCAACAGGTGCATTCCCCAGCATATTAGAAGAGGGCAGATCGCACCATCTTTCGCACCAGATGCGTTCAATAGACTTCCCTGACAGTTCTGGCCCTGACTGAAGAAGAATTCACCTGCATAAGGTTAGAATCCTGCTTGGTTTCAACCTTGGAACAAAAGGCTGAGGTGCCTCCTTAACATATCAAAGCGGACCTGGCTGCCAGGTTCTCCTAGCATCCCTCTGTCCCTACCTGTGTCAGGGCCCTTCTGGCTGGAATATGGCCCCCTATCCTGAACTCTCCAGACCAGGGGGCTACACTGCCCTTCCTTACATAGTCCAGCCATTTTGGTTGCCCACTCTCTTTGTACCTTTGGCCTCCAGGCTGCTGCACCTGGTTCCTGTCTCTCCCCTCCCTTCTCCCCAACATGGATTAGGGGCATGACCATGTCCCTGTCCCTGCCTCTGGCTATGCTCTCCCATGTATCTACAATAAACCTCCTCCATCACATCAGCCATGTTCCCTTCCTTTCCTTTGTTATTCCTTTTTTCATCCATTTGTTGTGTTAAATAGGCACCTCAGTCATTTGTCCCCCGGTTGAAACCCAACAACACCAAAGTCCCCACGGCTATGATCCTGGTTTAATTGGGATGGAATACGGCATGTGTTGACCTATTTTAGAAGCTTTCAGGCAATTTCATGTGCTTCATAAGTCCCTGGTTTGGATTTCCAGTCACTGCTAGAACTCCTGGTCTCCCCTTGACTCCATTCCATCATGCAAACGAATGTTTGATTTCTGCTTCAAAAGGCTCTTCTCCTACAAAGTCTAGGGAAGTCCCTTGCTTGAGAAGGAGACAGTTAGCCTTCATGTCTTCCCAGCATGTGAGGACTTTTCTCTACCCTGCCCCTTACTGGAAAATAGGACTAAGCAGACTGTGCAGCCTGGGAGGACACTGCCAGCCCTGGGCAGAAGACAACAACTCCCAGTTTGCTCATCGCCAGCCTTGTGAGGGCTAGACCACCCAAGACTGTGGTGTAGATTTGTCGTTACCACCACCCCTCCTGCAGCTGCCCCCCCCTCCAAAGCAATACCTGACCCAAAGGGCGGGGACGTGGGAGGAAGTACAAACTCAAAGCTCAAACGAGAGCTCATCACCGAGTAAGGAAGAGAATGGTGTCCAGAAATGGGGGAATTCTATGGGGATTCCTGGTGGTCCCTGCAGAGGGACAGTGAGTGACTTTTGTTGTTTTTATTGTCAATACAGCCAAGAGTGGCCAGAGGAGTGTCAGATTGGCCTGTGGCTATGTCTGTGGGGAACTGTCTTGGTTGTCTCGTGATGGGGGAAGACCTAGCTCTCTGTGGGTTTACCACCACCTCTGGATAGGTTATTCTGGCTTGTGACAGTAGGGCTGAGCAATAGGCAGACAGACAGAGACAGACAGAGATACAGAGAGGCAGAGGCAGACAGACAGACAGACAGACACACACACACACACACACACACACACACACACACACACATAGAGCATCATTCTTCCAGGTTCCCTCCCTGAGTTCCTGCCCTGACTTCCCTCAGTGACTGATATCACCTGGAAGTGTAAACTGAAATAGACCCTTTACTTTTGGTCCTGAGACCAAAGGAAGCTGAGACAGTAAACTGAAAACAGGAAGCCTTCTCTCCATTTGAAATGCAGCCAAGCCCAGCCTGGAGGTAACCCTGGAGGCAAATGGAGAGGAAGGGAGCCAGTGACAGCCCCACCCTGAAGTGGATGGGAGGAGTCAAGAGTAACACACCTTGAGGGCCCAACCTTCATTTCATCAAGTCCCACAGTCCCTCTCCCAACCCAAACTGCACCAGCAGCAGGGGACAAAGTGCTCAGCCTGTGGGGGGGAACCATTCTAGATTCAAACCACAGCACAGCACAAACAAAAAAGTAATATGAGAGGAAATGAATGAAAGTGAATACAAACACAGTCAGTGAATTCAGAGAAGGAAATGTGCTGAGATGTGCAGGTGTCCTGGAGGTTCAAGTGGAACAAAGCCTCACCAGAGAACAAGAGAGATACAGAGGGCAAATCCTTACACCCAAAGCAGAGGGGCATTAGAGAAAGAGAAAGGGGGAAATATCTATAAAGGGAAAACAAGAGTTGAACAATTAATTAAAGAGCATTTTCTGAGCTTCAGAAAGACTTGATTAAAGGGGCTGATAAAGTTCCAGGAAGGATTAATTAAAGAAAGGCATATACTTAGACAGACCCTGGTGTAATTCCAGAATTATAAACTCCCAGGTAGAAGGGGCTACTTACAAAGGAGAGGAAAATTGGTTACTGGTCTAATGTGGTGGCACACATCTGTAATCCTGAAGACCCTATGGTTTTTGCTGTTTTAATTGCTCTTGTTAATTGGCAAGGGTAAAATTTGAGGAAAAGAAAGGGGGGGAACCGGGGGGTGTTCCCCTCCAACGCCAACCAGAAAATGGGGGGTGTGGGGTGGGGGGAAGGGAGGGGGGGGGGGGGGGGGGGGGTAGGGGGAGGTGGGAAAAACTGAATTGTTTTTTTTTTTTGTGCCCCCGCCGAAAAACCAACTGTGGTTGGGTATATATAAAATATATAGATATAAAAAAAAAAAAAAACCAGTGTCATTCTGTTTCTGTTTTTGTGCGTGTGTCTCTCGCCCCCCCTACACTATCTGAATTTTGTGTGTGTTTTGCTCGGCGCGCGGGCGGGCCGGGGGGGGGGGGGGGCGGGGGGATGTGTATAAAATAAACAACAACTGTTCGTTGTGGTGGGGGTGGGGTTGGTGGGTTGGGGGGGGGGGGGGGCGGGTGCCGGGCTGGGGGGGGGTGGGGGGTTGGGGGGGGGGGGGGTGTGTGGTTGGGTGGGGGGCGGGAGGGGGGCGGGCCCCGCGCCGGGGGCGGGGAGCGGGGGGGGGGGGGGGGGGGGTGGGGGTGGGTTTTTTGTTTGTTTTTTTTTTGTTGTTGTTTGTTTTTTTTGTTGGTGGGGGGTTGGGGAGTGGGGGGGGGGGGGGGGGGGTGGGGGGGGGGGGGGGGGGGGGGGAGGGGGTGGGGGGGGGGGGCGGGGGGGGTGGGGGGGGGGTTGGGGGGGGGGGGGGGTGTGGGGGGGGGGGGGGGGGGGGGGGGGGGGGGGGGGGGGGGGGGGGGGGGGGGGGGGGGTGGGGTGTTTGGGGTGCCGGTGCGGGGTTGGGTGTGGGGGTGGGGTGGGGGGGGGGGGGGTGTGGGGTGGGTGGGGGTTGTTGTTTTTTTTGTTTTGTGTATAATTGTTTTATTTTTTAATTAAAAAAAAAAAAAAAATAAATATTAACCCCTTCTTTAGTTTTTAAGAGAGAAGAGAGGTGGAGAGGAGAGAAAAAATAAGAAGAAGAAGAGAAAAAAAAAAAAAAAAAAAAAAAAAAATTGGGGGGGGGGGGGGGGGTGGGGGGTGGTGGGAGCTAGGGGGGGAGGGGGCCGGGGGGGGGGGGGGGGGGGTGGGGGTTGTGGGTGGGGGGGGGTGGGGGGGGGGGGGGTTAATTTGGTTTAAGTTTTTGTTTGTTGTTGTTTATCACTCATTATTTAACTATCATACCTCTGTCTCACTTGCTAGTGTGGTGTGTTTTGTGTGTTGAGGTTGGGGGGGGGGGGTGTTTGTGGGTGGGGGGGGGGAGGGAGGAGGGTAGGGGGGGGGGAGGGGGAGGGGGAAAAAGAGAAAGGGGATGTAGTTTAGTAGTAAAGGGGGGGTAATGTAATTTATTTTTCTTTTTGGGGGTTTTTGTTTTGTGGGTTTTTTTGTGGTTTGGTGGGGGGTGTGGGGGGGTGGGTGTGGGGGGGGGGGGGGGGGGGGGGGGGTAGGGGGGGGGGGTAGGGAAGAGGAGGAGGGGAGGGGAGGAGGGGATTTTTGGAGGTGAGGGGAGGGAGAGTAGAGGGGGTTTGAGTGAGATATGTTTGGGGTGTTGGGGGTGGGGGGGGGGGGGGGATGGTTGTTTGGTGGTTTGTAGAGGAAGGTTATAAGAATAAAAGGTGGAAAGATGTAAAAATAAAAAAAAAAAAAAGAGAAAAGAGAGAGAAATGTGAGAAAGAAGAAAAAAAAAAAATAAAAAAAAAAAAAAATATAAAAAAAAAAAAAAAAAAAAAGGAGAGAGAAGGAGGAGGGAGGAAGAGGAGGGGGAGAAGAAGAGAGAGGAGGAAAGAGAGAGAGAAAGAAAAAGAGAGAGAGAGAGAGAGAAAGAAAAAAAAGAAGAAAAAAGAAGAAAGAAAGGGGGAGAGGAAAAGGGAAGAAAGAGAAGAAAGGAGGGGGAGAGGAGAAAGAAGAAAGAAGGGAGAAAAGGGAAAGAAAAGGAAAGGGGGAGGAAGGGAAGGAGAGAGGAGAGGGAGGGGAGGGGAGAAGAGGAAAAGGGGGGGGGGGGGGGGGAGGGGGAGGGGGGGGGGAAGGGGGGGGGGGGGGAGAGGGAAGAAGAGGGGGGGGGGGGGGGGTTGATGGAGGGAGGGGGAGGGGGGGGGGGGGGGGGGGCGGGGGGGGGGGGGGGGGGGGGGTGGGGGGGGGGGGGGGGGGGGGGGGAGGTGGGGGGGGGGGGGGGGGGAAGTGTGGTGGTGGGGGGGGGGAGGGGGAAAGGTTGGAGAAAGGGGGGGGGGAGGGGGAGGAAGGGGAAAGAGGGGGGGGGGGGGGACGGGGGGAGAAAGGGAGAAAGGGGGTAGGGGGAAAAGGGAAAAGGTCTGGTGTTGGGAGGGAAGGGATAGACCCGGTTTTGGGGGGGAGGGGGAGGGTTTATATTGGGGGGGGGGGGGGGGTTGGAAGAAAAAGAAGGGGGGGGTGTTGGAGAGGAAGGGGGAGGGCAAAAAGGGGTGGGAGGAGGGGGGGGAAAAGAAGATAAAGTGAAGGGAAAGAAGGAGAAGGGGGGAGAAGAAAAGAGAGGAGGGGAGGGCAGGGGGAGGGGGGGGAGGGGGGGAGGGGGGGGGCGGGGGGGGGTGGAGGAGAGGGGGGGGGGGAGGGCTGGGGGGGGTGGGTGGGGTGGGGTTGGGAAGGGGGCCCCTGGGTTATTATGTTGGAGGAGGGGGGGTGGTGGGGGTGTGGGGGGGGGTGAGGGGGGAGGGGAGGAGGGGGGAGGGGTAGAGGAGAAGGGGGGGAGGGAGGGGAGGAGGGGAGGTGGGGAGGGTGAGAGGGGGGGGGGGGGAGGAGGGGGGGGGGGGGGGGGGGGGAGGTGGGGGGGGGTGGAGGGGGGGGGGGGGTGGGGTGGGGGGTGGGGGGTGGGGGTGGGGTGGGGGGGTGTGGGTTGGGGTGTGTTAGGTGGTGGGTGGGGGGGGGGGGGGAGGGGGTGGGGGTGTTAGTGGATAAGGGGGTGGGGGAATTTAATGATAGGGGGGATGAAGAAGAAAAAGAAAGGGGAGAAGTAAAAAAAAAAGAGAAAAAAAATAAAAAAAGGAGGAAAAATATAGGGGAAAAAAAGGGGGAGGAGTTGTTTAAAAGGGGAAGTAAGGGGGGAGGGTGGGGGAAAAAAAGAGGGGGGGGGGGGGGGGGAGAGGGAAAAGGGGGGGGGGGAGGGGGAAGAAAAGGGAGAGGGGAGAGCGGTTAGGAAAGAGAATAGGAAGAAGGGGAGGGAGGGGGAAAGGGAAGAAGGTGGGGGGAGAGGGTGGAGAAAGGGAGAGGGAGAGGGGAGGGAAAGTGGAGGAAGAGGATGGCAAGGAGGGAAAAAGGGGGGAATAAGAAAGGAAAAAAAGAAGATACAAGAGGCCGGGAAAAGAAAAAAAAAGAAGGATAAAAAAGAGGGAAAAAGGTGAAAGTGAGAGAAGAAAAAGTAAATTGACAAAAAAAAGGGAGGGAAGTACTGGTGGGAGGAGAGAGTAAGGGAGGAGGAAGGGGGGGGTAAACGGGTGGACGGCGTAGAGGAAAAAGGGGGGGAGGGAGGTGGGTTGGGGGGTGTGGGGTTGTAGAGGAAAGGAAGATAGGGGAGAGGGAAGTAGAAGGGGGTGGTGAGAAAAAGGAAGAAGATAGATATAAAAAATAAGAGGGGGGGGGGAGGAGAGATAGAAAAGATGAGAGGGAAAAAATGGTCATTAAGGAAGGGTTAAAAGAAAAGGTTGGGAGAAAGGGGGAGGGAGGGGTAATGGGGGAAAGGGGGGGGGGGGGGGGGGTGGTGGGGAGGGGGGGGGGGTGGGGGTTGGGGGTGGGGAGGAAGGGGGGGAGAGGGTGAGGGGGAAGAAGAGAAAGAGGAGGGGAGAGGAGGGGTGGGAAGGAGGGGGAAGGGAAGGGGGGGAGAGAGAGAGGGATGAAGGAGGGGGGGGGAAGTGGGGGTTAGAACTGGGTTGGGGGGTTTGGGGGGGGGCGCTGGGGGCTGGGTGGTAGGGGTGGCCACCGCGCGTTTACCGGGTGGTGTGGGGGCCCTTAGTGGTGTAAAAATGGTGGGGTGACCAGTGGTTGTGATAAGGTTGGTGGTGGGAGCAAGGGGGGGAATAAGGGATGTTGTGGGGGGGTGGGGGGGGGGGAGGGGGTGGGGGGGGGGGGGGGGGGGGGGGGGGGGGGGGTGTGTGGGGGGCGGGGGGGGGAGTTTGGTGGGGTCGTGGTGGGTGGGTGGGGGGAGGGGTGTTTGGTGGGGGGGGCTGTGTTGGGGGGGGGGAGGGTTGTGGTTGGGGGAGACTCTGGGGGGGTGGGTGGGGGGTTGGTGGGAGGGTGTTTTGATAGTAAAGTGGAGGGGAAGTAGGTTGGGAGAAAGAGAGACAGATGGTTGTTAGGAGTAGAGATAAAAAGTAAGAAGTAGGAGAGATAAAAAAAAGGTAAAAAAAGGAGTAAGAAAAATAAGAAAGAAGGGGAAAGAGAAAAGAAAAGGAAAAAGGAAGAGAGAAGTAAAGGAGGGAGGGTAGAAGGGGGGAGGGAAGGGTGGTGGGGGGGTGGGGGGGGGAGGAGGGGGGGGTGGGGGGGGGGGGGGGGGGAGGGGAGGGTGGTGGGGGGGGGGGGGGGGGAAGGGTGAGGGGGGTAGGGGGGGGGGGGGGGAGGGGGGTAGGGAGGGGAGGGGGGGGGTGGGTGGGAGGGGTGGTGAGGGAGTGAAGGGGGGGAAGGGGAATATGGGGAGTGTGTGGATGTGATGTAGAAGCGCAATGTGGTGTGGATTGTGTGAAAGCGTGGTAAGGGTGAGCCGGTGGCGTGCGGGCGCCGCTGTAAGCGGATGTGATTTAGAGACCGCCGGAATCATGCCGCTGGGTGTGGGAGTCTGGTGTGGGCGGGGGGGGGCCGTGGCGGGGGGGTGGAGGGGGGGGGGGGGGGGGGGGGGGGGTGGGGGGGGACGGGGGGGGGCGGGTGGGGGGGGGTGGGGGGGGGCCGGGTCTTGGGGGGGGGGAATCCTAGTAGTCAGGGAGCTGAGGCAGGGGAATTGTGAATTTGAAGCCAGTGTGGGAAGTTAGTGGGATCTTGTTTAGAGAAGAAAAGGGAAAGAAAGAGGAGAAAAGAAAAAAACAAGACAAGGCAGAGGGAAAAACATCAGTTAGTTATTGAGTTTTTCATCTGCTTCTCTGAAAGGTGGAATAACAGGATGGAGAACAGACTCCTGGGTGACAAGGACAGCGGCCCAAGATTCCTTACATATCAGGGAAATGGATTGTGAGATGTGCCGGCCAGTTTTACATCACCTTGACACAAGCCAGAACCATTGGGGAAGAGGGGACCCTGAACTGAGAAAATGCCCCCATTAGGCTGTCCCGCAGGCAAGCCTATGCTGCATTTCCTTATTGATGATTGATGTGTGAGAGATCAGCCCATTGGTGGTGGTGTCATCCCTGACCAGGTGTCTAGGGTGCTATAAGAAGACGTGATGGCTACGAAAACCCCATTTTATGCCAGGCACTCATTCTACATTTCTAGAAGATAAGTGCTAGGCAATTCTGACTCCTTGCCCCCCTTGTCCCCTCCCTGGAATGATGTAACTGCTGTGAGATAATTAACTGCCTGCTCTGGGTTTTATAAATGCATTTATCGCTGTGTACCAGGGAGAGAGACAGTTACTCACTAGCTGGGGGGGGGGGGAGGGAGTAAAGCAGTTTTTCATACAGCTGCAAATTCCACAGAGATGAGGTAATCGTGGTTTCCACCTTAAAAAACCCTTCTCTTAGCCCCTTCCGGGTGGCACACCTTTGATTCAACTGCAAGACTGTTGTCCTGTTAGCAGTATTAGTAGATTCATCTAGTTATAATTTGGAGTGAGTTTGTGGTATATTCCCAGTGGTTTCGAACTCTGTTTCCTAGACTGTGATGTGGAAGTAGAAGATGAAATAAATGCTTTCCTCCCCAAGTTGCTTTTGACCATGATGGTTTTTTTTTTGTTGTTGTTGTTGTTGTTTTGTTTTGTTTTTTTGTTTGTTTTGATTTTTCCCCACAGCAAAAGTAACCGAACTGACACAAGAGAATTCAAAGCTGTCTGAAGACAAAGCTGGAGATGTGCTCATCCCCAAAGAGGTGAACTGGCACTCAGTGAGAGAGAGCAAACCCTGACCTGGGATGGAGGGAACATCAGGAAGGGAAAGGAAGAAAGCAAGAGAGATAATGGCTTCGAAAGGTAAGAGAAGCAGCCTGAAAGCAGCACACTGTGGGTGGAGATCGATACGTCTGGTTTGACAAATAGCTCCTCAGACACTTAGATGATCTCTTCAAGAAGTGGATCTTGGGACCAGAGAGCTGGCTCAGCAATTAAGGGTACTTACTGTCCGTGCAGAGAACCTGAGTTTGATTCCCAGCCACCACATGGCAGCTCATAACTGTAATTCCAGTTCCAGGGGATCTGGTGCCCTCTTCTGGCCTTCATGGACAGTGCACACACATGGTATGTATACATACATGGAGCCAAAGTGCTCATACATGAAACATAATGTTTTAAATTAAACTATTATGCTGGGTTAAAAACATTTCCCACAATATTTGGTTTCATTTCTCACCGTGCAGTGCTAATAAATCTTTTATTTACATTATGTATGAAACTCTGTAAGTGGATTCACTTCAAGGAATCTTAGCTTAGTCTCCCTGTACAACCTAGGATAAAGGCAGTGTCCTTTACCTCTAGACCCTGCTGGATAAAGATGTAGGAGATTTGAATAATGCAGTTAGGACCTTAATTTAGGAGTTGAGTTTAATTGAGAGTAAGTGATTAACATTAATTAGGATTGTAAATTTTATTCTATACTAGAGAACTGGCATTTCCACTGTATCTCTTTCTGTCTCCCTGCACATCTGTAAACATCAAAGAGGTTATTGTCTGCAAGCACAGTCCTAGGCAGTGAGAATGAAAGCCACACTCTCTGATCATTTTCCAGTTAAACCAGAAAGAGATGATTTAAAAATGACTCCTCATGTACAGTCACTGTGGAAAACAATATGGTAGTTCCTCAGAAAACAGGGAAATTATTTATCTCAAGATCCCTCTATAACCTATTGGGCATATACCAAAAAGATTCCCCATCCTACCAGAAGGACATTTGTTCAATATGTTCATGGCAGCTTTATTTATAATAGCCAGAACCTGGAAACAACCTAGCTGTCCCTCAACTGAAGAATGGATAAACAAAATACGGTGCATTTACAC